GAAGAGTGTTATATTTCATTAAATTTACTTTTTGTTAGATTTTTGTTTGGTGGTGTGCCTTGGGGTTTTTCCTGACAATATACAGAAACGGTTGGGAAACACTGCTTTAGATGAACTCCCACTCAGTTCTTGGTACTCTTACCTGTTCCTTATGTCAGTTGAGGAGAAGGAGAATCATCAGTGGTGCAGTTTGTAAATGTTTGGTATAACCAACATTTTCTGGTTCTTTGTGTAGGAACACATCAAGGTTCTGAAACCTTCTTGTCAGTACTTATCATTGGAAGTGTTGGTACTGCAGTGGAACGTGAGGAGGCAGGAGTGTGAGTGTTGAGGTTCAAGTGTGAACTCTGCTGTATGTGTGTGTGTGTGTGTGTGTGTATTTATAGAGCTGCTCTTGAATCTTTTATCCTCTCTTCACATGAAACCTCCACGGTGTTGAAGATCTGCTTATGTTCTCATGTTCTCAGCCTCATCTCCGCAGAACGTCCCTGAGCTTCTCTGGGTGTTCCCTCTCAATCTGTTTCCATGTTGTGGTCTTCCTGGGCATTAAAGCTTTACTCACAGAGAGGCTTAAACAGCTGCATATGTCTGTGAAACACACACACACACACACACACACACACAGACAGTGCAGACGTGTGATTCCCTGCTCCAGGCTGTGGCTCTGATCTTCTGACGTCTTCTCTCCTGCTTCATGTTGAAGACGACAACCTTGTGTTTCCGTCTGCACTGCTTCTCAGTATGTGTGTGTTTATTAAAAAAACGCTGCATCGTCATTCATTTCAGCCCCCAGTAACAGTACCAGGAACCAATTTCTGGTCTTTCCTTTTGCTTTTAATGGCTGCATTAAGAGGCAATATCAGGGAGTACTTTCACAGCAGAAACTAGTACCAGAGTTCAGGTATTGTGGAATGTAAACTACTCTATGTGGTTTACTGCAGGATATAGTACCAGTATACTATATAGTTCCACTTTAGGAAATTGATTTTCCTCAATACAAGAAGTGATTTTCACTCTGCGGCACCTGTTTAGGTCTTGTATTATGTTTCCTCCAACTGGGATTTATCAGGGACGATGAGTAGAACTTTGTAGAACCGATGCCCAACATAAATAAATTATCCTAAACTGAAGTGTGTAAATGTCTGGCACCGTGAGCTAAAGCTCAGAAACACACACCATCGTCTCCTCTCTCCCGGCTGACACTCCTCAGCACTGATGAACTGAGGGGAACCGAGCCAACAACCCCTCACTGTCATTGATTCAGGTTTGTTTTTAACAAATTATTGAACAGTGACAGTCACTTTGGCAGAGAACAGTGTCCACTCCACCTGAACTGTCAGCCTTGAGTCCAGAACTGTGTTTTATTCTAGACACAAAGTCTAACACTGACATTGTCCTGTAATCATCGGTTCCAGCTGCTGTGTCACAAACCAATCAAGTGTGTGTAGCTGCCTCAAATTACTGCTGAAGGTCAGTGGTCAGTCTACTGAACAAGGTCTGTCTCTGGTGCCATTGTCCAGACAACTCTGTTATACCAAGTGCCACTGGTCTCTGTGTGTAGGCCTTTGTGGTACCAAACGGTTCCAACGGTACCTGGATTACCTGATTGATCCAACACTCCAAAGTTTCTTGTCCAAGGTTCATGGACAAATGTTTTTAAATGAAATACAGACAACCAATCAGGAAGCTGTGTGCTGTTCTTTCTGTTCCATGGATAGATGGTAGGATGGAGTGATTAGATGGATAGATGAAGGGATGTATGAATGATGAACAGAAAGACAATAGATTGATGGATACATCAATACATCTCCTGAAAATTTTTTTTAAATTTTATTTCCTGCTGCTGTGATGTCATTTCCGCTACGAGTCTGTGGTTGTCAGAGAACCTTCTCTCGTGTCATCAGAGCTGGAGTCCGTGAGGAAACATCTCTGAGACGATCTGCTGCTGTCGCCTGTTGCTTAGAGACCATAGATTCACATCTGTGAGGAGGAGGAACTGAGGAACCGATTTATTCACACCATCACAGCTGTGAGAGGAAAACTGGAGTGGGGAGGAGAAAACATGGAAGATGTTTGTTCTAGATGATATCAGGAATAATTGGTACCATGTGACCATTCTGAGGAACTTCTGGTTTCCTGTGTTGTTATGTGTCCAAAGTTCTGGAAAGATTATCCACATTAACAGTTCTGGTTTCCTGTGTTGTTATGTGGCCAAAGTTCTGGAAAGATTATCCACATTAATCTAAAGTAATGAGTAAAGCATCAACCAGTACTGGGTACTTTTATAGAGTACCTGGTCCCTGTGGTGATAACAAACCCCCACCCTGGCCATCACCCCCCCTTTTCCTCTATCTCCTACCTCTCTCCCTCCTTTACCTCTTCTTTTCCTTCTGTCGTCACCTCTCCCTCCATCACTCCCTCTTTCCCCTCTCTTTCTCCTTCATCCCCCCCTCTTCCCCACACTCACACCTTCTCTCTCCCCCCGGCCCCCTCTCTCCTTCCACTCCTCCCTGTGTGCTGTTGTTGAGGAAGCTCTCATTTGTCTGAGCTCAGACCTGAGCCACGGGGAGTGGGAGCAGATAAAGATCACACACACACACACACACACACAGAGAGAGGGGTGATGCATCACTCCTCTCTGTTGGAGAGGTGGAGCAGCCTGTCAGGGAAAGTGACGGCTCTTTGTTTCCTCACTCTCATCCTCTTTGCTGCTCCTCCTCCCTCCTCGTCCCCCCTCTTCTCTCCTCCCTCACGCCTCCTCTGCCCTGTCTCCTGACTCCTTTAAGTCTTGTTTGCTCTGGTCTCAGGAGTCAGAGTCACTGGAGCGGGAACAGTCAGTGGAAGGTGTGAGTGGACCCTCAGCAGGCCTGGACCAGGTTCTTTTATTTCCACCCCTCTGTTACTGCCCCTGGGGGTAATTACTCTCTGCATTTAACCCATCCCTGAAACACCCCAGTGATTAACAGCACACACACACACACACATGCGCACACACAGGAGCAATGGGCTGCTCTTTTAGGTGAACCAAAGGAGGGGGGAGAGGGTTATGAGCACTGGCTCAGCCCCCCTCCCCTTCCTGAACAAATCCTAACAAAGGAAGGTGTCTCAACCTATGGTTTTTATTGGGCCCAGGACAAAGTCGGAATGGACTGGACATGTTAATGACAACGAATGTGTCACACAGTGGAATGGCGGTTCATGCCTTTGCCTTATAGTAGGTTGTCCATTAGGTCAGTTGTTTACTCTAAACTGATCATAGGTGTGAATGTGAGTGTGGATGGTTGTGACCCTGTGTGAGCAGGGTGTAACCCCACCCTCACCTGATGACTGCTGGGATTGGCTCTGTTTCCTACCACCACCATGAGAAGGATGGATGGATGGAAGGATGGCTGGATGGATGGATGGATGGATGGATGGAAGGATGGATGGAAGGACGGCTACATTTGTAGCAGTAGTAATTCTTGGTGTGTGGACTTGTCTGCAGTCACTCTTTTCTGTTCATTTCCTCTCCAACCAACATTAATGTGAGAGCAGTTCCATGTTGACACTCAGGGTCAGGAAGGAGAACAAAGGTCAGGGTAATGGTCACAGACTAGTGGAGGTGAATCCAGACGCATTCAAAATTTTACATGGTCAGTACTGTGGTAGGAGTTGGATTTATTGTATGGCCCCAGTTGTGGTACAGTGGAGGAGGTTGTCGCTTTCTGTCCTGAGAGTCAGTGGTTTGATGGCACTTGATGAATTCAAGCTACAACTGAACAAAACATGTCAGGTTATGAAACATTCTGTTAGCATGCAAAATAGCAATAGCAAATGTTTACCTAAACTGATTATCCAAAAGATGATCAGAGGATTGGTGCTGACAAAGCTGAGTGTCAACTAAAACGCTGTAGAAATAAAGCAGCTGTTAATCATGAGTGTTGTTTCTGTCCACACTGTGGAAAAACCTAAACATAAATCAATTATAGTTTCACAATCGAACATAAACTTTCTCAACAAACTGATGAGTTAAAGTGAACAAAGATCCACTCTGTGTTCAGGATGTTGTGATTGGGCTGTTCTTCTTCTTCACTTCCTGTGTCCTGTGCTGATGTCAGAGGTCAGCTGATCAACACGGTTCATTTCTTCCCTCACTCCTTCATCCTGTAGACCGTTGTGTGTTCCTCTGTTCCTCTGATGTTTGGTTCTGTCCTGCAGCAGCCACACCTGTGAGTCAGTCACCTGACTCATTCTCATTCATGCCTACTCGCAGGGTGAGTGTGTGTCTCCTCACACAGACTCACACACACACACACAGTGACAATGCAGACTGACAAAGACACACACACACACTCAGTTTTACACAGACCTACACACACACGTTGACATTTACAGTGGGTGTGTGAAGGTTGTGGTGTGTGCAGCAGCAGCGGGATGGTCACCTGATGATGATCTCAGCTCTGCTCTGAAGAACGTCCTCATTTAAGCAGCGCAGATGTGAAAAGGTAACATTCACAGAAGAGATAGGAGGAGCAGAGAGAAGGTGACGTGTCTGACATCCTAATGTATGTGTTAGTGATAAGAGTCAGAGCAGTGGACAAAATGTATGGTTGGAGAGAGGTAGACAGATTAGTGGAGGACAGGAGTGCAGGCACAGAGGCATTAAAAGTCTAAAGGTTTATCCTCCACTGTTAGCCTTTACCATCCGGCTAACTCTTTGGCTAACCTTTAGTTACTTTTACATAAATGTCTGTTTAATTCTTCCATTGTTGTTGCCGATTGATGGACAGCTATGAGACTCCTCAGTCTGTCCTACATCTGACTTCCTGTCCAACAGTTTCAGTGCATGCTCCATGAGTCTGACAGATGATGGGTTCAGCTGTGGGTTTGAATCCCTCATCACAGCAGTCGTTGTTTCAGCCTGTTAGTGTGGCTGCGTTCATGTTAATAATCCACTGATGTCTCTTTCTCCACCACACCATGTACTAAAGGTTTGTTTTTGTATATGCTTTGTTTTCCAGTTCCTGTGTCTGAAGAACATCAGGACGTTCCTCAAAGTCTGTCACGACAAGTTTGGCCTGAGGAACAGCGAACTGTTCGACCCCTTTGACCTGTTTGACGTCAGAGACTTTGGAAAGGTGAGTCTGAGGGTGCGATGGTTTGGGGGGGTTCTGTTTTTAGACACTCCACACTGCTGTGTGTGTGTGTGTGTGTCTGTGTGTGTGTGTGTTAAGGCCAGTCAGTGTTATTCATTTGTCAGGAGAAAATCTGACAAGAATTTTGTGCCAGGTTCCTGCAGGTGATGGAATTCTTTGGCTTTCCTTGAGTAAACACTGAGATTTCAAGACCCGGTTCAAGGTCAAGTCTTCACACAGACAGATGTAGAAGCATAAAAACGTGTCTATTTCCTGTGTGTGTTCATCGCTCTGCTGTTGTTATGTGTGAAGATGCTGACAGAGCAGAAAGCTCACTTGGAATGTTCTCAAAAGGTGCTTCATTTTTGGTCTTTGTGGTGAGCCGTTGAGTGGGTGCCTCGGTCTGTGCGTTGCTCTGACTGTAGTGAAGGGAGTTGCTTCAGTTAGTTGATGTTCTTACATCAGAGCATCAAAGGCACTGTGAGCTGCTGCAGTTTGAAGTTCCTCCAGAAGTCGAACATGTCACTTTTTCCAAGATGAGTGAATTAGTTTTACACGTTAACAATGAGAGAGCAGGCATGAACTCTGCCCTGATTTTAACACTCTGAAGAGATGAGTGTGTGCCTGTGTGTGTGATGCAACGCTTGACTGACTCTCTCATCATTTGATCTCCAGTATTCAGTTTATAGTCCACAGTTTTTGTGAGTATTTCATGAGTAATTTTTAGGCACTATTGACTGGAGAGACTGTCTTTAATATATATATATATATATACATATATATATATATATATAGGTCTGCAGATATTTGTAGTATAGACTGTAGTATAGATAGTCTGATTTCAGCTCTACTGTTCAAGATCATCTATACAAATGTTGGGGTGCAGCCCATGAATTGGGACATAGTCTGTGTTTTGTCATGCTGTGATGAAGTACTTCTGCTGCTGGAATGTCCTACAGAATTAGCTGCATGTTAGAGGAGGAGGGAAGGAGCCTAATCCATAGTCACATGATGACTCTGTTAACCTCAGCCGCTAAATGTCAATGGTTTGAACCACTTCACATCCAGCACCTTTATTAATATGGGTGTGCTCGTGTGTGTGTGTGTGTGTGTGTGTAAATGTGTGTCTGGTTGTGTTCCCCTCTGGTATTTATCAAAACCCGGCAGCTGAATAAAAACAATGTCATTAAATGAATGGTGACAGCTTATTACAGCGTAAATGTTTCAGTGAATTTTAACGATTCATGAGAACTTCCAATTTGTTGTGAATTATAATATTTAATCAGAACTTCCTGTTTGTTTTGAATGCTAATACTTCATCAGAACTTCCTGTCCGTTGTGAATGCTAATCCTGCGTCCTCTCAGACAGATGGGATAATTTATTCTGTGTTTAAAAAGAGGATAAAAAAGATAAAATGAAAGTCATGCCTCTCTCTGTGATCGATCACAGGGAGGAAACATTTTGCTAAAAGCTCCTCATTTATCTCCTTGTTCCAATCTGGCTCAGCATCTCTACTCCTTCTCCACACTGAGGAGCAGAACACGGGGAGAGAGTTTGGTTTGTGGGTGTGTGGATGAAGCGCAGCAGCGTCCCTGAGAGTCAATGAGCTCTGGGTGAACGTCATTAAAATCCAGCAGCAGTCAGAATCAATCACCTCCAGCCTCCCTGTGTCAATTTGGAAATTGCTTTTGCATGGTGTCGGCGGTGGCCGGCTTGTCTTTGCATCGATTTTCCATTAGGAGCAAACATCACATTATAATATATTGAACTGTGTAGATCCCTATTAATGTGACATACATTTAAAGGAGTGCGACAGACTGGAGGAGGAAACAGAAACACTTTTATTTCTCCTCTCTCTCTCTCTGCAGATTTGTCTGTACAGCTGCAGATCATTGACCTCCTTCTCTCCCTGCTCCTCTTTGTTACCTCCGTACAAGAGTTTCTTTGTTTTCACTGTCTGCTGGTGAACAATGACAACTTTAACCTCACACACACTCGGAGTTCATTGCTCCACAGAACGGGTCATCGTTCGACTGTTGTCTCTTATTTTAGACTCCACAGAAGAACTGAAAAAAAAAAATACAGAGATTTTCACAGTTACACCACACTGTACCAGGAACCATTCACAGACAACAAACCAAAAGTTCTTGGGTTGGCCTCTATGGCAAAAGACCAATGAAGATCAGGCTAATCAGTTCCTCAGCTGCGTGAAAACAGTTCCAGAAGGTTCCCTCTGTCTTGGTTCCGTGTCCATCGCAGAACAAAACAGTCAAACAGTACCAGGACACTCTAGTACAGTTCTGTTATAGATCAAGATTTTGAGGGGAATAAAACACTGACAGTTCCGCGCTCCCTTCTGTGCTCCTCCAGTTGTAGTGTTGATTATTCCCAGTACTGTCTGTGGTTTCTGAATCATGCTTAAAGGAAATGATTCTTCAGTGTTTACAGTGTTAACAGGTCGCAGTTCCTTCCATTCTCAGTCCGTTTAGTCATTAGTCATTCTGCTGTCCTGTAAGGAAGCTTCCGGAGCAGAAGTCGCAGGACACGCCATTTATTTCACAAGAATTCAAGAACAAACATTTATTCTGGACCATGCATTTACACAATAGCCTACACAATATAGGTGAAATATATATTTCAATAGAACTGGCTAACAAGTCCAACAGGATCCTGATCTTATTCCCATCACCGTCAGTTCCAGTTCGTCCTTCAGGCTGGCTGTGGCTGAATACATTGTAGTTGTTGAGCAAGGCTTTTTAGTTTAGTAGTGTCGGGGTAGAACCCACAGTTGTCATGAGCGTAGACAATGCCATCTTGTGGCTCTGGATGATATGGTGTATATTTTGAGATATAAGTTGTCTCAGTATATAGATTGCAGTCGAAGCAGTAGTCAAATATCTGGATCTACTGACCTTACAGTACATACTGTATACTGTAAACTAGTTCTTTCAGAATCATCTGTTTATCACAGACTTTCTTCTCATCCTTTTCCCTGTAGCAGTATTCAGTGGGTATTAATCCCTGTTGAAGCTCAGCCGTTGTTCACCCTGAAACGTTACGTGTGTTGTCTCTACTCTCTTCTACAGATCAGATCAAAACTTTGGCTCCACCTCTCTATATAGCCCCGCCCTATTATGCAGTTCTCCCTGTGTCTCCCTCCCCTCCCTCCGCTTGTGCTTCAACTTTGAAGTAACTGAAGTCAAGTCTGAAAAAGGCAGACACTGACTTCCTCTCTTCCGCAGGGATTTCAACTAACAACCCCACCAGGGACTGTTGCTTTTATTTGATCCGAGTTCTGGAGTTCATTTTTAGTCTTGCTTTAGATTTCATATATTTTAAATAGAAGACAAGAAGGTTCATGAGGTGGAGAACAAAAGGAGTAGATGAGAAGGTTTCAGTCTGGTAAGAGAGGACTAAAGTTTTAGTCTGAGAGATGTTAGCACGAACTCGAACCTCGGTCGGCGTGGACAAACTGGCTGCAGGGCTCACTTCTGATGGTTTAAAAAAAAGGAAATAGAACCAGGCCTGTGGCCCTGAGGCTGCAGAGGAGGATGAGGAGCAGGACAAAGAGGAGCTCAGCTGCTCCTATACACTTTCATCAGCTCCTCTCTTCTCCTCTGATTGTTCCACATTAGCTCCCCCTGGCCTCAGAGTTGATCTTCATCTCTGCTCTGATTATTGTGTTTCCTGTGTCAGGCAAACACAGACGGGAGCAAGGGTCGGTGGAGGGAGGCGGGGGGGTAGAGAGAGGGGAGGCAAGGAGCGGCGGTTGCAGAGGAATCTGAGTTTCCAGTGGGATTAGGATTAAAAACATCTCCTGCTGACTTTTATTTTCGAACTCTAAACTCTGACTTGAGCCCCTCCCCCTCATTACACATTCATCATGACATCATTAAAGCAGTGGAAAGGCCTTGTTACAGGAAAGCCTCAGAGGCGGCTTTGGTTTTAAACACCTCCTTCATTCCCAACCTCCTCACCTCCTCCTCTTCTTATCCTCACCCCAGCTTTAATTATCCACAGAAGGAACATCGCTGTCACTGAAATGAACACGGCAATCAGTTTATTTGCCTGTTGCCGGCATTTGCATAATTAGCTCGCACCTGTTAGCCATCGATCAACAGTTTGGTGATTTCGTGAGGAGGAGGTTGAGGAGCAGGAGGAGCAGGAAAACGCGAGATAAGAGTCAGGAAGTTGCTTTTTTAAGGCTGGCTGAAACACTGATTGACTATCTTGCAAACATGGATGAATGTGGGCGTGGCCAGCAGGATTGGCTCACTTGGTGCCTACGATGAATGTCTCCTGCCCTGTTTTTCTATCTCATCTCAGTCACTGTGCTGTGTCTGAGAGCCTGGGGAGGAACCGTCACCACAAACACAAACAGGAAATGGATGGACGTCAACCATGAGACGGAACATCAGCACAAACACAACGTTTCACTTGACCTTTGACCTTTTTCTTCACGACCATCCCTCCTTCTCCTCCTCCTCCACATCCCTGTACACTCCTGCCTCCTCCATCTATTGTGTCCTCACAGAGGAGCCCCACTTGTTATCACTGATGTTTGTCCTCTGAAAAAACTTCTGATGCTAAGTTCCAGTTCCCCCTCCTTAAAGCCCTCCGAGAGAACCAAGCATGTTGTTGCATCAGGTTCACGCCCTGTTCAGGGAACATCTGGAACCCTCCACAGCCATACCGACTCTCCTGCCTCTGTCATGTTCACTGAGGTCATCTTTAGCTCCAGGCTCCAGACCTTAGTCTCTTTAGTCCAGGTCTACGTCCCACCACAGGAACCTTCTACAGGTCCTGATATGAATTCTTGTGCAGATGCACATCTTCCTGTTCCCACTTCCTGTAACTAATTCCTGTCCGTGAATACATACTGTACAATTTGTGGTACTTATCCTCCGTGCTCGGTACCAGTGTCTTTCTTTTTTAAAGGTAAGCTCTTTACTTTCAAACATGCGCTCTTCCTTCATGTTCACTCCATCAGTACACCTGCGCC